CAATGAGAAAAGCAAAATTTCACTCTTGCCTTTGGCCAGCGACTAACACCGCTGAGAAAAGCGAAGCTTCGCCTTTGACTTCGGCCATCGACCAACGCCGCTGTAGCCATATTCCTAAGAGGCTCCACAATCAATCCTCATCTTTCTCATCGCGATAGTCTTCGCTGATCTGCTAGCAGTCGACGGACTTACGGAGAACGAAGGGAACACCTGTGCCCTCACAACAACAGCAATCGCAGCAACGATTTGCTCTTGTCCTACTTATGAAGCCTCTACTCGTAAATCATTTTTTGCATCGATCCAAGATTGGTATCCTTGACAGGAGTACTATCTTGCGGGGGCATGATAGAAGATAAGATTTTTCCAACTATATAAGGAAATCTTTCAATTCTGTTAACAAAAATCCTCTATTCTGTTGAGGAAAATCCTTTCTTTTTTCTGTATAAATAGGAGAGGGACATGTTAATGTATTTAAGCTTTTTCACTTCTTGCAAAGATAGAACATATCGTACACATTGATTCACCACACCACATGATGGGCCACCTTGTATCTGCTGGAAAATATTTCTTCGTTGGCTTTGAATTTTCTACACGATTGCATTATATATGCTTATGATTTTTGTTTTTTAACAACTATAAGTTCATGTTTATTTTTTGTGATCTAACCCTGAAATTGAGTTATGACTGTATGCCATTTACCTTCATACATAACAATTTGGCATGCACTTTTCGTCGGGTTGACAGATACGGAACAAGAACAAAATTTAGTAAAGGGAGCAAAGTTTCCTTCTGACATTGAGGATCCATAATTTTGTTGATGTCTTGGACTAGTAACTTCGTTCACACGAGGGTTACAATTTATGATATAAACTATGAAAAACAGTTGATTACAAAGTTATCAAATGAAAAGTTAAAGTTATTATCAGATTGCGTTTAAAATCATGAGTTTCAGATTGCGTTTATTATCAGTTGGGATTACTCCATTAATTTCCTTTTGCAACTCTTTCTTTTTTATGTTTTTCGTTCTGATCTTAAAATAACAAGCATCACTGCAAGTATTTTTATCAACTTAATGCACTTGTTGGATTATCTGCCCAAAATAAGGTAAGCCCTTCTGAATGTCCATTGTAACTTAATTGTTCATGATAGTTTGAAAACTGTTCCTGTTGTTTTGGGAAGTCATGGCTTTCTTGTTATTCGTTGATTTCTCTTCTGACTTTTGACTTCTGTAAGAATATGCTTAATATAATTTCTAAAATGGCTAATAATTTTGACTGGAACCACACAGCTAATTTTATTGGAGCGTTTGCAGATAGGTAGCCATGGGAAGACATCCGGTTACATGTCTCAACCGAGGCTTTTTACCTGTTTACTAATGTGGAGATCTGCAGTGCAACTGCTATCCTTGTTTTGGAACATGTAAAACATTTCAACACATCAGAAAAGCAGAAGACTCGTTCAAATTGGGTGTTCAAGATCTTAATTTAATTTTAGTTGCTTTGTAATTGATTTTTACCCTACAGAACTAAAAATCACCACACTGTCAAGATCTTAATTTAAGTTTAGTTGCTTTGTAATTGATTTTTACCCTACAGAACTAAAAATCACCACACTGTCAAGATCTTTAACCTGTTGGTCTGATTAATTCACTTGGGGACAAAAAATAATAATAAAAACGGTGATATAATTAAGTTACAACAACACAATCTCAACAATAACGATATAATAACACTTGCGCTGGCAAAGAATGTAGACCATAAATGTTTCTACCGATGAATGGTGTTCGAGAACGCCTCCTGACTAAAAAGTATAAATCCACATACTGACTGCAATTTCTCTCTTTACTCTATGGTTATATGATCACTGTTGATGCAGATATTGAATCCAGCTAAGTTTACAGTTGAACAAGTGGGAGCCAACGTCATCAGCGAGGCTGGAGGGCTGTCACGTGATGTATGGGCTCCCTGAAGCACACCTTTATTTGTTGCGCTTCTTAGATTCGCTGTAAAGAATGACACCAATGACTGTAAGTGTGTAACCAGCCATTCCTGTTACAGATACTGGGTTCCTAAATATCAGGATTGAGATGACAACAGCCACCGCGCCTTTTGCATTTCCAAGAACCTTTGAAAACAAAATAAACAATCAACATTATTTTCAACAACACACAAAAGCAGTATGAATGAGAGCACTGTGTATTCAGAATCAAAAGTACTAATTTCCAGTTCAACAGAAACTCTGATGTTCAACAACCAAAAGGGGTTTTTCCATTATTTCTAAAACTCATCATGTTATCCCAATCCATACAATCAACGGACAAAGGAACAATCATTACGAACTGTACAATAAGAGTTTCCATTCTGCAAGACATGATTACAAGGGTTTAAACATTTTAGGGCAATCAACCAAAATGCCATACTTTTTTGGTGCCTCACTTTCTTATTACAAGGGTACACACCCTGTGCATATACTCAGAAGAAAATTTTGGTGGCATCTCATTTTGTGGCTTGGTTAAGTTCACTCAATTAGATTGAGCCAACTTGATTAAAACAACTTCGGTCAAACCTAATTTAAACCACACTGTGGCTAATTCAAATGTAGCCATTCACATTTACAGTTTGGTTTCACTTCTTGATCTGTCTATATTCTGTTATTTTACTGCACAAACTAATAAAATCCAATTTGAGCAGTTCATATCTTTCACTGCTCTTAACAGTAAAAACAATATCACTAGAAAACAAGATATTCACTCGGATATATTTTATAAGATTTAAACATGAAAGTTAAAGATTTAGTTCAACAGCTATCAAACTGCTATGCCTATGCCAGTATGTCCATTTGCAGAGATTTCCCGGATGCATACACCATACAATCATTATACAGTCATCACATTGCAAGGTTTGCATGATTGCTTGGAACTCCTTAACATTTGGTAACCCAGCTTCTTGTCAAAAATTGTGCAGGTTAGCAAATCAACTAGATAGAGTGGCAGCAATTATCTAGGTGGCTCCTAAATCATCTCATCTTACGAATATAGGCATGACATCAGAAATCTTCAAGATCAAAATTGCCAACAATAGTTATATAAGGAGACAATCCTAGGGGGCTTCTAATCATGTAGGTCAGAAATTCCTGAAGACTTGAGAGTGTGCAATCAAAATTAAAGGAGCTCTAAAAGAACAAGTATAGATTGTTACTCACAAATAATAATGGGTTTTAGGATTAGGATCGCATCAGAGAACAAGGAAGGATCAAAAGCAACTGAAACCAAGACCAGCTGGAACTTGGTCAGAACCTTGTTGGAAGATGTAGATGAGGGCGGTCCAGGGTATAAGGCTTCTTCGATTGCAGGGTTAAGGAAACAAGCAAATTTCCTTAAACCAAGACCAGTCATGGTAATGATGTGGTTAACAAATCAGCAAATTTCTAAATATTAAAAATTGACAAAATCAACAACAAACAATTATATAAAAGTAACAGATAACAACATAAAATATTTTGCTTCTCCAATTTTGGCCTTTTTTTGGAGCCTACATATATTGTATTACCACATCACAAAAGTATATTTATGCTGAATGCTAGTAACAAAACAATAGTCAAAGTTCATTAAGTGGACTGTGATAGCCATCAAAGAAAAAACAATAAATTAACACAAGCATGGCTCTGCAAACCATCAAGTAGACAGTTTCTACAATTCTTTTAGGCACGGGCTTCTTTATGCATGGTGTTACATTGTGCCACATTCTTATTTATGGTAACAAAAAACAAAAATGTGCAGATAGGGAAATAAAAATATTGTAGAGCTTGAAGGACACAAGATATTAACTTCTACAGAAAGTTCAGAGTTTTATGCAAAATCAATTTGAGGAAGATGGGGAAAAAATAGGAAGGAACCTTGGGGAGGGGGACAATAACCAAGGAAATAAATTTGAGAAATGTCATACTTTATGCATTTACTTAAACTTTAATTGTTAAAAAATAAAGAATTTTAATAATACAGAACATAGAATAAGTATTAATCCCATGAAACTTACCTGTAGGGTCAAAGCACTTGTATGTTTTGTGACCAGAAAATTGGTCAAGTTCACGAAATATGCCAAAGAAGAATTGAACAGGAGGTACCAAATAATTTTGAAGTCTTCTCTAGCAAGTGTCAGTGTGATACCAATGACATTCTCCTCCATTATAATTGTTGCAGGAAGCAGAAAAATTACTGCTATTGGAGCCATATATAGGAGGAGATTCATAGAGTTCAGCTTTTCCCTGGACATGACGCATGTGAATAAGAACATATGTTATGTAAAATATGAAATCTCAAAAGAGCCTCCTATTACAAAGTGCTATCAACATTTGTAATTATGGAAAAAACCTGAAATTTTCAATAAAGGATTTCTTAATTAACAAATGGAATACAGAACTCACCCCTCAGATGACATCAAAATTCCTTGCAACACCGTCTTAAGTGCCCTGGCAGCAGTAGCACCGATGCACATAAGAAAACCAAACAAATGAAAACTTGGCTCCCCCTATAAAGTTGAACCATCAGAGTGTCAGTTTTCACATCTTTCAGTCTTAAATCTGGAAAGACAAAAGATTATTATCTGTATAATCCCATGTGTTGAAGAAATCCCTTGCACAACCATCGAAGCACATAATTTAGGAAACAACTTATGTCTCTACATCAAGGAGGTTGACTATCTATACGGTCGTAATAATGTCTAACATCTGCTGTCATATGAGATCAGAGCAATAAATGTCAAGAAGAGAAATAAAGCCTAATAAAACAAGACTTAGTTTTGCCCCCAAAAAAATCATATATTTGCCAGCTTCCTACTATGTCACTCAAAGGTTTAATGTTATTGTTTCTTTATTTACAAAACACACACCTAGTGGTGCTTAGATAGATAGATAGATAGATAGATAGATAGATAGATAGATAGATAGATAGATATATATATAGAGAGAGAGAGAGAGAGAGAGAAATAAAGGTAGATTTTACAAATACAAAAGAAGATTGGTCAACACAATACTTCAACACAAGAAGCCAGTAAAGAAACCTAAAAGACCAAGAGAGGAAAAGAGAGACATTTTAATGATCATGCAGAACAAATAAATCTAACAGCTCACCAAATTGACATTTGAGGACCTGAATGATATATAAGATGGAAAGAATTACAAATGTGTTACTCAATCATGACAAGAATTCGTGCTTGTCTACTAATGATGATAGAAACATCTAATAACGAATGATGTGAAAACAGATAGCATTGCATCGCAACAATGTTCATCCTATTCACACCCACAGAAATAAATCAACATAATAAAGGTTATGCCCTTTCATGTGTTCTATCATTTATGTGCTGGAAAGAGAGATAATCCAAGATCGTACATGATTTAAGCACACTTGAGACAACATATTTCACGAAAATCAACTAGATCAGTGTGTGTGTTAATCCAAATCCCCTTTTCTGGATCCCCAATTGCGACATTCAAATATTCTATGTCCTGGAAGGAGATAATCCAACATTCAATATGGTTCAAGAACCCTTGATACGGCATATCTCATAGGAATCAAATAGATGTAATCTGACTGTGGCCAAGAAACAACAATCTTGATATATTCTAACTGGCAGATGTAATCAAGAAACAAGATCTTGCCATCCTACTGTGATCAAGAAAGCTTACCCCACTGGCAATAATAACACCCGTGACGACAGGCACGAGGGTAATGTACGTGAGCCACGACTCCCGCCGGAGAGTCATGAGATAAGCAAACACCGCGGTGAAGAAGGGGGTGGTTGCCCCGATCGCCTGGTTGAACGAGACGGGGAGGTAGCGGAGCGAGATGTTCCCGCTGACCACCGACCCGCAGAACACGAGGCTGAGGGTGGCGATCTTGAACAGCTGTACGCGGGACCGGATGGCCTGCATCGGCACAACCTTAAGCCAGGCGATGGCGACGTAGCTGAGAAGGGAGCAGGCCGTCATGTGGCACATGGTGAGGAAGATGGGGTACTTGAACCCGTAGTTGCTCAGGAGGTACTTGTTGAGGAGGAGCACCCCGATGTTGGAGGAGTACCACGCGGTGACAAGCCCGACGGTGAAGAACCGTCCGGTCGCCAGCGCCGGCGACAGGGCGGCCTTCGCGCTCATCTCCTCCGCCTCCGCTGCCTCTCGGCCGCTGTTCCTCCTGCGTGGATCCGTCGATCTACGTCTAGGGGATGGGCCGATCTAACGCCGACCCGCGGATACCGACGGGGAGACAGATCCCGGCCGACCCGATCGTTTCTTGGATCGGCAGGCTCGTCGATCTACGGATGGATCTCGATCGGTTCTTGGATCTAGGAGGCGGAGAGATAGGGGTTACAGTTGATGTCTGTGGAGGAAGAGGGGGGAGTGGACGTGGGTCGGATTTATTAGGCAGAGGGAGAGCGAGAGAGCGAGAGAGAGAGAGAGAGAGAGAGAGAGGGCGGGGTTGGGGGGAGAGGAGACAAGAGACTCTGATGGTAATGGGTAGAAGAGAAGGTGAAGACTTCGTCCATCGACACGAAGCGTTAATGTTTTATTTGGGGGCATTATTCCTTTAATCATCG